TACACACACACACACACACACACACACACACACACACACACACACACACACACACACACATAACCACACACATAACCACACACATAACCACACGCAAACACTCACCATATGCTCTATAGCCGCCACGAGCTGCGCAAACACACATTTGGCGTCCGGCTCAGGCAGTCTCCCCTCGCTGGAGATCTTGTTGAAGAGCTCTCCCCCGCCCGCGTACTCCATGACGATGTGCAGCTTGGCCAGGGTCTCCACCACCTCGTACAGCCGAATGATGTTGGGGTGATGCAGCCGCTCCATGGACGTGATCTCTCGCGACAACAGCCGCTGCGTCTTCTGGTCCAGCTTCGTCTTGTCCAGGATTTTGATGGCCACTTTTTCTGAGGAAGATAACATTTGGTTTTGGAGTTAAGGTCAGTTTAGAAAGAGTTTTACAGCACTTGCAACACAATAAGGTCATGTACGTGCCGTAGATTAGCGGTGTTACAAGAGAGTAGCAAATTAAGAAAAAGGAGGAGAGATAAGGACGATAGATGTTTGATACGAAAGACTGAGTAAGTAAACCACATCAGAACACAAGCCAACCATCCGCTTTTTTTTTTGTAGGTCGGTTTTAGTTGTAGTGAGTGTGTGTGTGGGGGGTGGGGGGAGGGGGTGGGTGTTTGCTTTTTTCAAACTTTTTTGGGGGGCAAGACAACATAACGGAATGGACAGGTTCAAAGTCGAGTGAAGCCCTTCAAATAAGCTGAAAATAGAGAAGGATGGAGAAAAGGGGTTGCCCGATTACCCTTGGTGCCCTAACGGTCATCTAAGACGACGGGATAAGTAAACAAGTAAGTAAGTAAGTTTTACGGCGCTCCAACAGTTTTAGTGTGAGTGAAGAAAAGCACAAAGACGCCTTTAAAAAGGTGGAAGAAAAAAAATGTAATTCGTCATATTTCACGTCGGAGGCAAACTGCTTAGAGAGGGATGCAACGTCCCAGCAAGAAGAAAGACAGAGATACTTCATTCCCGAGAGGGTAGATAGAATCTTTCTCAAGCATCTCGACTTTTCTGCTGGGATGTTGTATCTTTCTCAGCCCAAGTTGGAACTAGCAGGAAGGTTCGGAAGTCTGACACTTAATTGATATAAATGTGAGGCAGCGTGGTGGAATCAGGCTCTCGTCAATTTTTGGGCATGTAGAGTTATTGGTGTCATTTTAAAGTTTGTTCACTTGTCTTTATTTGGATGAAAAAAGTATCCATTTATTTTGAATACAAGTCGAGATATTTGCGAAAGAAGGAGATGGGGTTACCTATTTTCAGAGGTAAAATTAGTGAGAAAATGGTCGCCAAAGTTTAGTAATTTCCATAGCTTAAGAGTCCGTGGTGACTGAAATTTTACATTTTATGTGCCTTTAATCAACGTTTTTCTGAAAAACCCACACAGAAATTAGTTCTTTAATGGACATGAAAGGTGTTGAGCCAAAAAACAAAAATTTGATAAAAATTCACAAACCTGCGGGAAAATGCAAGTTTCTTCATTTTGATTATTTTGACGAGAGCCTGATTCCACCACGCTGCCTCATAAATAATTTTGCCCATGTGGACGTAAAATCACCTCATAAAAAACACAAGAAAACCGCATAGCTGAGAGCAATCGACATCATGCTTGTCTGTCCCAAGCCACTTCCCCTAATATTGGCACTTTTAAGCCCTATGTGATTGTCTCAGCCCTGACTATTGTGCCTCTGAAAACTTTCAGCTGGTCTGTCTCTTCTTCTTTTTCCAGTTGGTCTCCATGGCCATGTCTGACGGGGCAATCTTGCCTCTGGCATTCTCAAAACATGTCTAAATAATATCTCCATATTGTCTTTTTTGCTTTTAGTGGCTTTGTTGATATCTTCAACCCCAGCTCTTTTTAACACTTCATGCATTATTTGTTATACATTCATTCAGAAAAAAGTCTTCGTAAACACTCTGTTTGAAAGCTTTTCATGTTAATAAGATAGCTTTGATTTGCATATCTCTGAATCATACAGCAGTACCACCTCGTACATTATTTTAATTTAGTCTTCAGTTGTATAATCTTTGAATTCCAAATAGTTTGTGATTTTCCAAAAGAAATAAAAAGTATGAGGGGGTTTGGGGCAAGATTATTCAGTATTTAACTCTGCCGTCCCCATTCCTCTCCTTTGCCTGCCCGAGTCGCCTCAGCCCAACTTCCTTTGACCCAAACCCATCCCACCCACCCCAACCTCGTCCCGCCCCATTTCCCCTGTCTGGCTCTATTTGCCCCCCACCCCCCACCCCCCGTCCTGCTCCGTTAAAGTGCCTCCATTTCACCAGTTCTACTGGAGTGATGGGAAAAGCACTCACACAGGTCCCTGAATAATTCAATAACCAGCCCAGTGGGGCTAACGCTTTTAACAGCATTGTATTATCTTAATTAATACTATGTGTCCCCGAGATAACCATTTACCATTAACTTCAATTTTAAACCGTAAAAGTTAATCTATTTCTACCCCCAAAAATCCTATATTACGTTATACCACCAGGGCTTTTTACCATTATTTTTAAATTTTAAATCTCTCTCTCTCTCTCTC